ACATTTTCATCTTCAGGACTTGATAAATAGTAAGTATGACGTACTGACGTACGTATGAGATAAAACCTCTATAATTGTTCCTACATCGTAACGTTTATACCTAATTTATGATTACCTGTGCCCGTTGCGTTTATAATATTATTAAGATTGTTCATCTAATACTATAGAATAGGTTTACAAGACTTACCTAAAACTTACACTTACAACATTTATGTAAAAGAGCAAAAGGCAGATTCTTAGTCATTCTTGTTAGATAAAACATGGACTACGAATGTACGAGTGGTAGATTACAAATTGTGTCTATTAAAAGTTTTTAAGCGAATTAAATTTATTTAAATGAGATTTGTATTCTATAAAATCATCAATCAATCCATCTTGGAAATACAACACCTTACTGTACCCCAATAAGTTATCTAGGCAATTCTTATTTCACATTGTTAGAAGTTTACACCCACAAGCAACGCTGTCATAAAGTGTATAGTTTTACAAGTTTCCCGCGCAAAAAATGTAGCGTGACCATGGAATTGCGAATACCTATTAAGTATTGGTTATGAGAAAATTGTAACATAGTAAAATAAATAAAAATACCAAAACAGCTGGATTAATTCTTCAAATGCACTTTTTTATATGAAATATACTCCCTCTATTTGAGTTTGAAAACCTTGGTAGAGAGGTTATTTCGTAACTTGTGCATTTGCGGTAGAAAAATCTAAGTGCTCTCTTATAGCACGGTTTTATGAGAATAATAATTATAATCTAATAGATAGTAATAGTGCAGAAGTCACTGCCAGTGCCTGTATATTTTGAAATACATAGATATGTAAATTTTTCAGACTGTGGATTTGTCCACCTCTTATTTACTTTTTTATTATTGTTTATACATTATAAATATTCATGCGCACAATTAAAGTATATAATAAACAAGATTTAGTAGTAACGCATTCCTGATCTGCAACTGTAAGTACTAAGTTAGTTGCAATTTACCTACACGATGAACGTACCTTTGATATTACAACTTGTGGGAAGCATAGGTATGTCATTTATGTAAGCACTCATTTGTTTGCATTCTCCACATCCAGATTAATAAAAATATATGATGTACAAACAAAACTTTTATACGATTTCGTCATATGTATAGATTACCGTATATCGCCCGGGGAAGTTTTCCCATATAACTTGGTGATATTTGCGAACAATCCGGGGCTTACTAAGTGACAAGCGGTTGTTTCTTTTATAACTTCCTTCTTATATACGTTCCGGGTAAGCAGTTGGTGATCCGACCTTGTGGATGTGACTTTTGTGACAATAAAAATATAAGTATTATAAATTGTACTTGGTTTCTGTACTAGGTACAAGAATGACAAGCTGACGGCTGGCTATCACGAATAAGAAAGAAAAAGCTTTGATATCAAATTATATTGACGAGATGCCTAGTAATATACGTTACTCAGGTGTATGACATAATATTATGTTACATTAAGACCACAAATACTGTAGAAATTAAGTCTATGCGAAAAGTACGATAGACAAAGACGTGTAATTGTACCATAAATAGAATGGGAAAGTGATACTTATGAGCTTGAGAATCGAACTGGTTACACATTGTGTACGTAATTAGCAATATGAAAGCCGGCCACTGGTCTCGTAGTCCACTTTCTTTGGTGTATCATTCGATTCATGACCTAGACCTGAGTCATGAAGGCTTGGATAATTTTAATTCAATTTATCATATGTGAGATTGTAAGTTTATCTCAATTTGTTTTCAAAATTTAATATTATTATGTTTTCAAGAAATCAGAGGGTTTGTTTGTTTATTAGAATTGTATTCATGTATCTATTCATTTTTATAAGCATTATATGTCACTAATAGAATACAACATTATCTCGGAATATTATAGAATAAGTTTTTTATTTTAATCGATAGTAATGGTACGGTTCACCCGCCTGCGCTAACGGCTTACGCTGGCGGGGCACCAGTGGAGGATTATATGATGAGCATGAGGTCAGATCAGTTATTTCAGGCCCATTATGGTTAATTCACTATGAATTTTTTACTATGGTTTCCGCGTAAAGACCAACCTCACATAGTATATTGCAATGGGGTTATCAGTTCACGTTACTAACAATTCCCTTCGGATATAAGATAATAAGAGCTAATTGTTACCAATGAAAAATTCGACAAAATGAGGAAACAAATTTTTAACTATACGTATAAACTATAGATGTCATGAATAGTGATTTTACAGAATACCGAATATTCTGTCAAGGCTCTCACAGAAGGCCGAATATTCGGTGACACTTTGTGTTGGACAGGTCCTCACCTACACCATTCTACTTTAATATATACATACCTATACATATATTATTTTATCTCTATCTTACGTTAAGTAAAATTACTAAAGAGAATATGAACTAAAAATAAAGAAGGTGGCGCATGAGAAGAAAACAAATTAACAAAAAACCACCAAAAGTGATTTAAAAAAACTGGTGTAAATAATGCCGCGAGCGAATTTTTTTTTACTTTCTAAACTTATTCCTATGTATAGGACACATGAATAAGTTATAAAAATACTAATACATAACTCAAATTTTATAATAATATTGTAAAGGCAAAAGTTTGTAAGTATTAATGTTTGTTATTCTTTCACACAAAAACCACTGAACGGATTTGATGAAACTTTACAGTAATACCCATTATGCATCAGAATAACACATAGGCTACATTTTATATTGAAATTTAACGCGGGTGAAATCGCGGTCACAACTAATATCTATTTAATATATATATAATATTTTGCATTTTTTCATGAATTAGTATTTGATATTCAACTGAATACAGAGTAGAAACTGAATATTCGTGGCATCTCTAGTATACAATTATACATAAACCCGTTATAAAGGGAGCTATTGCTAATACGCCGTATTTTAGGGATATGTCCTTCAAAAGGTCCCCATTACGTTACGTTGATTACGCTTTTATAAATTTTCTTCTTTATATATAATATATATACTCGTGAACGGGTGCTGCTTGTAGGGACTGGTCCCCATCACTATGACGTTACGTTGATTACAATATTTTTTTCTTTTTGAGTATTTAATTGAATTAGTGCTAATCGGTTTTGTATACACACTTTTAAATTGTAAGTAAGAATAAATTATTTAAAAGAGCTTTCTTTATATATAATATAAAATGAGCGGTAGATTAAAAAAAAAAAAATGTTATGACTATTCAAAAGTGCTTCAATGTAAGTTTATTTGAATAAATGATTTTCTATTCTATTCTATTCTATTCTATTCTATAAAAACATTTTCTCTTTATGTTTCTAATGGACTTTCGTATACTAAAATGATAATGTCGGTCCCATTGTATTTACGAACACTAAATAAAGATAATTGCCTAAAACATAAAATTAGGTACAACAAAGTGGTGTATATTAAATAATTACTATATTTATTTTTGATCCGATCCGAAAATGTTGCACTCGCCTGTGCTAACAACTGAATAGTCACTAAGACTGATAGGTTAAAAATGAAATCAGGTAAGTCCTTTCTCCTTCTTTAGAATCCATTCGATTAGATTCTCTCAGGTGCTAAAGTTTAGTTTTAACTAAGAAAAGGATTAACAATATTTTTTCTGTAATCGCAGTATGTATAGTTTATCAAAATTAGTGTGTTTAAACCTGTTATGAACCTATGAACTAACCGTTTTTATAAATCTTCGAACCATAACGGACCCGAATAAGTCCGAGTAGGCCCGATAAGTGCCGAGTGAGCGATGAAAGTTGTTTAGCAGTGTTGTCATCGTAGAAATTTGCTACATGTCTTGTAGTTTTTATGTATTATTAATAATACATTGTATTATATTCAGGATTTCAATCAATTTGTACTGGTTACACGTTATACCTTTCAAATCGATATGAGTTAATTACTCGTATATGTATATAATTCGTAACAGAAACTGTAACAGCAAGTTCTAGAAATAATAATTTAATTTCTATAGCTTAAGATTTACTTTGAAAATATGTAATGTAATGTTAAACATTTATAAAAACTACTACATACAACACTTACACTATTTATAATTTAGGTAATTCCCTTGAAAATCACGTACAAGTGAATTATCTAAATTATAAGTAGGTAATATAATTGTTTCTATAATTTTTTCGTCGCGAACTTTCTAGATTAATTTTATCGTTAGTTTTTTTATATATACCCTCAATGTCGATGTTTATTACTCGCAACGCATAGCAATAGCAGTCGTACAAGCTGCCATGCACCACGCCCAGTTGTATCTGTGACTACGGCGCAGGTGTATGTCTATCGTTTCGAAAATTATCTCTGCATTCAACCTCACCTCACGTCTTCAAAGACCGGATCTACCGAAGGTGGATGTTCATCGAAGGCATTAGCAGAACAAGGTGTGTGCATTATATTTGCTATTGTCAACGAGTTTTAGAACATTGATTTATTCGTATACGTAATAGTCCCTATGTAGCATAAAGCCACCGCTATTTCGGATTGGTGCGAATGCTACAGCTATAAACTTTATAATTAGTTTAGTAGCAATTATAGATATATAATTTGCACTTTGGATTTTGGATTTTGCGACAAAAACGGTTTATTTTCGTTTGTTTTATAGTAATTACTGTTATTATTATGAATGTACACATACGAATAATATATGTTATAAATCAAATTACTTTTGATTGCCACTTTTTGATATTGATATAATAGTAATCTAAAAGAAAGAAAGCTAACGTAATTGAAAACCAAAAATATATTAATCTAATTATTTTGCCTTGATTGTTTCCATAACCTTTCTCGGTCTTAATGGATGATTTGCGATCTTTTAATCTTTTTAACGTAAAAACAATAAATATTAACTAGTGAACAACTATTTGAATGTTAACGCATACAAAAAAGTAATAAAAGTTACACAGTACAAATTGAAATGTACAACTAGCAACACTGCAATTGCTTTTTTTTCTACTACCAGTTCAGTCGTAAAGTTCGTAGGGAGGATACGCTCCGTTCCCGTCTATTCCGAGCCTACTTTTACGTCGATCCATTTAGAACCGGTTCGAAAGTACCGAGGTGTGGCGTGGGTGATCCCAGTGCCGCGTCCGACCGTAAAATAATTACGTTACAGTTCAAAAAACTTTGTGTCGAAAGTATTTAACTTTGAAAGTAGTAAAAGTGCAGTGACTCACTTGTGGATTGGAACAGCGCTATCTTCGAATCTAGGTAATGAATTTATTATCTAAATTTGCTATCTTCTTTATCTATAGTTATCCATATTAACTTTCCTGTGAATAAAAATAAATTTAAAGTACAAGTAAAAATAAATTTAAGGTACAAATTTTATTGTCGCATTTTGTGAACTACCTAGGTACTGTACGTAAGGGTATACCTTAAGTTACCATTCCAGGTATCTTACGCTCCGTACGTATATAATGATGCGTGTTGTAAATATAAAAATATATTTATTTTAGATTTCAAATAAAAGAACTGTGTAGGTAGAAGTATTCTTTGTTTCGGAACAATTATGTAGGTAAGTATACAATGCGACACATAAATTTCTACCTGGCTGTTGTAGTCCGGTAAAGAGATAGGTACATGTGTTGTTTCTTTTGTTGCTCGTTTCTGTGCACCTACCTTACATTCATAATTTAAAAAGTTAACTTGTTTAGGTAGGTACGAAGGATATGCATAGATGGGATTGGATGCGATGTACCTATTTTAAGAAATTTATATACTTACGAAGTTGATAGTACACAATATTATAATTTAAACTCCTACCTACTCGTAATGGATCCGTACTAACCTATTACAAAGTGATTTTCTTGTACATTTTTTTTACAGATAAAAATCTGTACATTCTTTATGTAGGGTCCATGAGTTCTAATTTGGCTGACACAAAAGACTACCTACCTACTTAAGCATTGATACTGCTGATTCTCTTCGGTGATGGGAATACAGATATGAAACCAATTTATGCCAAGAGACGCAGTAAGTTCGCGCCCTTTCAAATTGGGTTCAAATATATATAAATATGGACATGCCAAGTTTGAGTTCACCATGATGTCGACATTTGAGAATGTCTCTGACTATCCCACCTGCGAACTATACCAGATGGGATAGACAATAAACTTTACGACTGTTAAAAATATAAATACAATAAAAAGTCTGAACTTGCCCCTTGTTCCTGTCTGAAAATAAGATAACATTTAATACGCAATCATTATCACTACACAGTATAAAACAAAGTCGCTGTCACTGTCTATCCGTCCCTACTCCCTATATACATACTTAATTCTTTAAAACTACCCAACGGATTTTGAAGCGGTTTTTAATAGATAGAGTGATTCAAGAGGAAGGTTTATATGTATAATACATGTACACCCGTGCGAAGCGGGGGCGAGTAGCTAGTTATGTAATAAAATAATCTGATTTCATTAAAAAATATATATCTCCGTAGTTTTTTTTGTAGATGAAGGTACCCTAGGGGCAAACAAGCATACGGCCCATCTGATGATAAAAGGTTACCGTAGCCTAGGACGCCTGTTACACCATGACTAAATTCTGAATACCTACTATTTTATAAAAATTACAATTTATAATACTAAAGGGAATTTTAAAGGTGAATAAACGATAATCAGTGTTACTATTTGCGTATTAGAATTTAGAAATAAATTATAATTAAAATGGCATAAATTAAAATTTTAAATACGTTAAGAAGGTATAATAATAATGTTATAATATTAATGTAAGATTGATATTATATGTATTAAATTAAGTATAATTGCATCACATGATATCATTTTATCGTCAACCTTAATTATTTATAATCTACCGTATTGTTAGATGTTTTCCAGACGTCGTGTATATTTCTTATTTGGCTTGGTCCTTAATAGGCGTCTGGTATAATAGATAGGTAGAGACATATGAAAGTGAGGGATTATTGAAATGAAAGTGTTCTTAATGGCAATTAATTATAGATATTAGGAATTAATAGATTGTCACAGCACTGGTGACAGTAACACTGAGAATGTCTTGTGATAAGTCTTAATAAACGTACTGTCAGTCAGGAAATATGTTAAAATGTTTCAATTATAGGCAAATTATCATTGTAGTTTACTTTATTTTTCATAGCATATTTATTTAGTTATTAATCCGGTATGACAAAGAACCTAGCCGTATAAAGTATTCAATCAACTTTATAAAAATGAAATTTTATGTACGCGTGTTAGGCTATAGATAGTTAAACTGAAAGTACACTTATTTTAATGGTTCTTTTAACAAATGACACTGTTTACAATCTAAACCACAATGATTCTATAATTATTTTGTGATATTGAAGTTGGCTACCGGTCTAATCAAATTCTCGAAGTAGGTGTGTTTATAATGTAGTATGTAATATATATAACGTAAGTAAGTATATAAACACTTATTTGATTGTTGGTTTCTGTTGCAATGTTTTACGATCAAAAAGCAAAGAGGTTGCGACCATCAAACCGTACCATCTTAAATGTGGTCACTTTCATTACCGTTGCTCTATTTTTGGTTACATAAAAGTGCTTCATATACTCAGTAGCATAACCACTGGTATGTTAGTTTCCGCAAGAGTTCCCTCTGGTTTTTTTAAGTTAGGCCTGAACAAAGGCGTCTCCTCATCGCTATTTGATACGAGTGATGAAACACTGATATTTGTGGAAGAATTTTTTAATATGCCTTTACTTTAATTGATATTTGACATATTAATAAATTCTTTCACAAATATCAGTTACAGAATAAGAGTTCCCTTTGCTTCGTAAATCTCCGACATATTATACACATTGAGCACTGTACCGGCGACTTCGTCATCGGAATACATAAATTAATATTAAACAGACCCCCCATTAAATGCAATAAGGAAGAAGCAGATAATAATGATGATGGTTGGTTGGTGGTTCATGAACATTAGTCTGTCTAAATTTTAAAGTTTGTTGGTTTTTGTTGTTGTTAACAACAAACTTACAACATCTTTGCGAACCTTCACATTCCTAATATTTGAGAGTACTAAAACTAAATGTAATAAAAAATATCTGTCTTTGAAAACGTCGTGGGCTAGTGTTTTCCTACCCTGAATTACGCTCAAGAGGTAGTGAGTCCTTATCTAGCCAACACCAAAATAAAAAAACTTTGTTTGATTATTTATATTTCTGATTGACTATCATGTGGAGGAAACATAGATATCAATCCAAATAATATAATTCTTAAAAAGGCGGTTGATTCGCAATGTGGATTCAAATATACACAGCCAAACGTGGACGCGTTCACCAAAACGACAGTGGGCAATTCCTCTGACAACCTCATTTAGGATAACAGTCGTAACGATATGTTATCTTCTGTCTTGTAATGTGATCCGCTATTATATGACGTTTAAAAAGTCGAGAGAACAAATGATAGTCAACTATAAACATAAATTTCGTATATATATTTATTTTTATTTCTTTGAGTGAACATCTTTCGCTTTTATGTAGTCGTAATCTACGAGGGTATTTCGATCATTTGAGCGTGAGATCGAGGTAGACGTATCCAGAACGATACAGCTAAAAAAGTAAACAGACGCTAGGACAAAACTGGGATACTTAGTAACGTAAGCCTTTAAGAAGTCGAGAGAACAAATGATAGTCAACTATAAACATAAATATTGTCTTTATGTTTTTTATTTCTTTAAATGAAACTTCTTCTCTTTTTTGTGTATTATATGTGTAATCTATCTGGTAACTTCGACCGTGAGAGCGAGATGGACGTATCCAGAAAAATTTAGCTAAAAGAATAAACACGACGCTAGGACAAAAACTGTCTACTTGGTATTCTTCATAGTATCTATTTACCTCTATATGATTTTAATTATATTTACATAAACATTAGGTACTGTTCTATTTTGTATTTCGTCTGTCATATGTATTAATATTTATTAGAAGCTATAAAGACTCGGCGAAGCGTGAAACTCGAGAAAAATGGATAAAATGGACATGTATGATGAAAGGTCATCGAAGTACTACCAGTATGCAATAATACATACATGTAAAATATGCACTTAAATGTACACTATGAACCACACAACAAATAATTTGTTTGTTTATATTTTTTGTAAATACTAATGGAACGGAGTATACCCACTTTGTTCTTATATGTTAATCCCTCCTATCGATCCTCCGTTGATACCTAAGGGGATCGAAATAACGACGGCCTGAGCCCAGGTTCGAACTCCTAGCGGTGCCCTCAGATTAAAGTGGTAATCGTCAGGCAGCGGGTTTGGATTGCCATCTGCACTCGCTTCCTATAGTTGGGTGAAGCTGTAAAAGCCACAGCAAACAACATTAGCATAGTTCGAATAAAAACTATTGGAGAGATAATCTTAACAACATTTTATATTACGGTCCTTATCCGTATTATAGCCGTGAAGCGCTTTTTTTCTTATTATATAAGTGGTTCATCTATCCAAATTGTGTGCCTAAAACGTCACTAACGAAACTCCTCAAACAGTTTCCTAGTATCGATACTTCGCTTTCCGGTGCCTCGACAAACCAGAAACATGGTTCACTGGTTCTTGAAAGTGGACTCAGGACCGGTTTAGACCTTCTAGGATAGACATGCGTAGCCTTTCTCTCTCTTACGCATAGTGTCGTCGCTCTCTAATAGGTGGTATCATTTCGACCACTTTTGTGTTACTAAGAAATGAAATTGAACTGAATAAAATTCATAGAACTAATAGCGTTAAGTAATTATTGTCTGGGCTGCTATGTGGAGAGAACTATATTTTTATTTGCGTTTTGGTTTTAATAAAAGAAGCGCCAGTCAGTTTATTCCTAGTTTAGTTAAAACTCAACTATTTATTCTGGCTTATAATATTATTCAACATATTTGTTAGGAAATGCTTCTAACCTGTTCTGACGATAGAATAAATGAACACGAGACTTAAGACCTACCTTTTTGAACGCCAGTTAAAAATGTAATGTAAAAAACAAATTTATCTCTGGAAAATATTAATGATCCGTAATGGCGGACACAGAAGCGACTATTTTTAAAGTAATTTAACAGCCTTTCTCCAATTCTCCCCTCAGCATACCTCCATCTTAGTCCGAGTATTTAGGGTTGTCCACAATTAATATTTAATTTATTATCTACTTTATTAATAATTAATTAAATAGTTCTGATACACTTTGATCAAAGTCGCTTGAGCGCGGATACCTATC